CGGTGCAGAATTCTTCAAATGCAGCAGAAGCTGGGAGTCAGTTGGGCCTCTCCATGAGGCTGGAACTAAAGAAGCACTAAAGGAGACGAAGAGGATTGAAGAGAGTTGAGTGACTCGTTCCCTTCCTTCCTCCATGCAGAGAATGAAGCGCAGGCACCTGTTCCCAAACTCAGGAGGGGGGCCTGAGGACCCCAGGCAGGTCGTGGGGACCAGAGAAGGTATTCTCCCCCTCACTGACAAACTGAAAGTTAGTAAGTCAACAGGCCCAAATGTCTGCCCATCCTCGTTCTTAAAGATCTCAAATACGAAATTACTGCCCTTTTTACGAAAATATATAACATGCCCCTGTGGCCAGCCTGTGTACCAGAGGATGGCCAGTGTAACAACATCAAGAGAGGCAGCATTGTGCAGTGGTTAAGGCATGGGACTGGGACCCAGACGATCCGGGTTCGAGTCCCCGCTCAGCCATGGAGCCGACTGGGTGGCTTTGGGCCAGGCACAGACTCTCGGCCCAACCTACCTCACAGGGTTGTTGTTGTGGGGATGAGATGGAGGAGGAGAATGATGTGAGCTGCCTTGAGCCCTTTGTAGGGAAAAGGCAGGATATAAATGGAAAAATAAATAAAATAAATGTCTAGAAAGGGATCCAGGGTTGATCTGGGGAATAGCAGACTGCTTAGTTTAAAGTCTGTTCTAGGCAAGTTGGATGACAATGTTATTAAAGATAGACTCAGGAAGGACCTAGAGGGACAAGCTTCGCTGGAAAGGAAGCAACATGGCTTCTGGAAAAGTTAGTCTCCACTCACGAACCTATCGGTGTTCTCTGGGAGTGTCAGTGTGCGTGTGGAGCGAGGGAATCTGGAAGAATTCGTTGTTTGCCTGGACTTCCAAGAGGCCTTTGACAGAGCCCCTCCCCAAAGGCCCCTGAGCAAACCAGCAGCCATGGAATAAAACGGGGGGGGGGGGTCCCCTTACGGATCAGTGACTGGCTGAAGAACAGAAGGCAGAGAGTGGAAAGAAACGGCAAGTCCTGCGCATGGAGGGGTGTCCCCAGTGGAGCTCCACCGACTTCTGTGCAAGGACGATTATTAAACCGCCTGGAATTAGCAGTAAGCGCTGAATGGCACCCAGCTATTTAGGGCCTGCGAGGAGCTCCCCAGGGATCGCCCCAAGCTGGGAGAAAGAGCACCCAAGCGGCCAATGTGGTTCGGTGGGCGCAAGGGTCAAGGGAGGGGGCGGCGCTCCGCAGCTTCCAGCAGAGCCGGTGCGACCTGAGCTGGTGGCCCCTGGCCAAGGCATGGGGCTCGGGCTGGTGGGGCGGCTTGGGCCACATGTCCGCCCCACATGCACCTGCTGCGGAAAAGGCAAACTCCGCGTCAGGCATAGTTAAGACCCAAGGCGAGATGACCGATGTCACGCTACCGCCGTGCAAACTACGGCGTCGCCGCGCTTCGAATACTCTGTGCAGTGGCGGTCACTACTCCGAACGAGAGACGGCAGAGCTGGATGAGGTGCGGGGCTGGAGCCGCTGCAGCAACGGGGGCCTCGTCCTGGAGGGAGGCGAGGCAGAGGCGCTCTGCATTATGCACAGGCGGCCTTTTGCTTTCCCACGAGACTGGAACCCAAAGGGGCTCCCCGGACCATGCTGGGCGAGATCCGGGACAGGTAAAGGGGGGTACGGAGGGTGCCCAGTCCTGCTGGCCCCGCAGGGGCTGCTCCCTTTGGCAGGGGCATGTGCCAGTGGCTGAGGCGCTTGGGCAGGGGGACGCATCCTGCTCGCATGTATCCTCCTGGGTGGCCCCGTTGGCAGCTGGCTCCACTGTGGGTGCCAAGCGCTGCTTTGGACAGCCTCCAGTCCGATCCTGCAGGTCGGAACACCTGTCCGTAAGGCGCAGCTCTTTCAGCTACGTGAACCTGAGGCAGCATCCAGGACCCGGGCCCACCTCCCGACTTCGATTCCGCACCCCCTGGAATGCCTGCCCAAGAGCATCTCCGAGTCCATTTCTCCCTCTGGCTCAAAGACCCCCCACCCACCTTTTACAGGAATGGCGACCGGCGGAAGAACCCAAAGCGCTCCCCGAGCGCCCCAGAACCGCCCGCTGGCAGGGCGGGGGCAAGAGGGAGTACCCAGCTTCCCGCCTGCTTGTGGACCCTGGGCACAGAGAACGGGACAAGGCGGCCCCCGCCTGACCCAGAGGCCCCACTTGCGCCTCGGTCGCACACTCCGCCCCTCTCATGCCGCATCTCGGCCTCGTTCGCTGTTGCGCCGCTTGCTCTCCACTCGGATTCCTCCGGGCTGTGCCGTCTCCGTCCGCACCGTGCTGAACGGGGGCGGCAGCACAACTGCTTCGATGATGTGCCAGCCCTGGCCCAGTGGGCCTGGCCTGGGCCTCGTGTTCTCCTCTGGGAGCACACCGTTCCCATTCCTGGGATGCGGGACTCAGCCCGGCCCGCTGGCGGCACTGGAAAGCTACCCAGGCTGGCCTGTGAACTCTGTGGCAGAGGCAAGAGAGGCCCCTGCAGCGCCCACCTGGGCTGGGAGGGGGGCGCATGGCCTGGGCGAGCCCCGTCCCTCCTGCCCCCAGACCGGCAGCCAGCCTGCGAGACCACCCAAAACCGAATGCGCCCACCCCGAAGACGGGAGACGCTCCATGTTGCTTTTGAACTGTGGTTTTATTTACATTGGCATTGACAACAGAGTATATTCCATCGAATTAATACTTCTTACAAGTCATGGAGAACCTGTGGATGCCTGCCACTTGAAGTTGAGCAAATGAAGTTATTTTGAAATCTAGGACTCTTGAAGTCAACCCCCAGTCCCCCACCCCCAGCCCCGCTGCCCTCCAGAGAGGGAGGGTTTTGAATTATGTGCCCCTGCCCACTGTGATTCATCAGTACAAACAGCACCAGCATTTTATAAGTCGTAATGCAGATAGCCTTTTCCATAAAAACAAAATTTAAAAAATTTAAAAAAATGCAAACAAAAATGTGGTTCTGAAAGGCCCGATATCCCAAGAAGAAATAATAATTAAAAATACCAGAAATCTATAGGCGATTGCTTCAGGAAATGACAAGAACAGTAATACGTACAACTCAACCGCATACTTACAAACTTTACAGGGAAGTATGTCTCGCATCGCACTGAACGTGTGCGCACCAAGTATCCGTGCAGAACTTATGCAGGACGACGTGCCCGCCTAAAATCACCATTTTATGGCAACGGAGAGCAGGGGAGGGTCTTAGGCGCTGCCATGGCCACGCACGCGCCGAGGAAGCAGACAGCTGGCGCAGAGTTTAAGCCACAACTTCTTGCACAGCGAAGTGGATGGCAGAAGCAGGAAACACGCGCACACGTGCACGCATGCACCCGGAAAGCTCTCGGCTCTGACTATTCAACCAATCTGCCTCACTGACTTCTCCAGTCAATATGCAACAGAAGTCAAAGGGGCATGCACTTCCCAAAGCAACCAAGACACTGCGGGGACATGGCAAAAAGGAGGAAGAAAACATGTCTGTAGGGATCCAGCCTTGGAAGCCCCCCTCTGTGCGTTTGTGTGCAAAGGTGATCCGTGGAACTCGAGCCTGAGCGGCCTGGCCGGAAGAATCCCCTTGAAATGGTGAGTGCGGCTGCGGCATCCCCGGCTGGCGGGCTGGCTGGCTTCAAGGGGGGACCCTGCAGCCCCGCACATGCGGGGGAGGTCCTGGCCCCCTCCCTCCCGCAGGGGGAGGCACGACAGCGCCTCTGGGGGAGTCGTGGCGAAGGCCAAAGCATCCGGTCCGGGCGTGCTCAGGCGCTCTCCTGCAGCAAGGGCATCGCGTCGGGCAGCCTGCGGCACCCTGGGAAGCACGGGAGGGGAGAGGGGAATGGCTTCCGATCTGGGAGAAGCCAGCCCGGGTGTCCGTGGCCGACACGCAAGCCAGACTTCCCCGGCCCGGGGCCGCCGGATGCGCTGGACCGCAGCCGCCAGCAGTGCAACGGATCTGCAGGGCACCTGGCTAGGGAAGTCCGGGGGCTGCCGTCCTGCGCCACGGACTCGGGGACCTGGGCGCCAGCGTGAGGAAGGCGGGGCGGGACCGAGTCCTCCTGGAGCCTGCGCAGACCCAGGAAGCGCTCAGACCTGGCTGCCTTCAGGAGGACCGGTGCGCACGGCCCTCTCTCAGAACGGCCCACAATTGCCTGTGGAAGGGCAGGGAGCACGGCTGCCGCGCACCGAAGGCAACCCGGAGCACCACGAGACGGCACTGCAACGGCTGCCGGGCCGGCTGACGCTCCCCACACCAGCTCCCCGCGTGGAAGTGGCACGAGCTGACGGGCACTTGTGCGCTTGCACGTGGGGGCCACAGGCAGGGCGGTGCCCCGTGGCGCAACGGTTCAGCAGGAAGTGACCGGCCGATGAAGTGTGGGGCCCGAGCGTACCGTGCCCCTTGCCCCGGGGCCAATCTGCCTGTCTGGATGGCTTAACAATCAAGCGCACAAAGGCCACGAGGGGCAGGCCACGGAGAGGACCAGCGCCAGCCCCAGCAGGCCCATGCCGCCTCCGGGCAGGCACCCAGAGGGACCTCCGCACCGGCTGCGAGAGGCGCATGGCCCGTGGCACAGGGAGGCACAGCGATGATGCGCTGCGGGAGTCGGGTGCTCTGTGCCAGGTCAGACCCGCCGCACTCGTGGGCGACGGGCGCTTGGTCCAGCAGAAGGAAGAGGGGGTAAGCGCCACCGCTGGGGAAAGCCGCGGGTCCCCGGCATCCGCCCTTCTCACAACGCGCAGTCCTTACGGAAGAAAAGCCACGAAGCACCCCTTCCTCCCGCACAGAAGCCGCGGCTCACGAGAAAGCGGGAACGGCCGCCCAGCCGGCGCCGTGGGGGGGAGCAGGCCTGGTGGGCTGGCCGGCCAGGCCTGTGGGGCCACGAGCCCTGGGGAGCCCGGGGAGCCCCGCGCTCCTCACCCCCCCACACGCCCTCGCAGGGTAGCGGGCCGCGGCGGCCCGTGGGGGGGGCGCCCTCACTCCCCCTCCTCCTTGATGCGCTGCTGCTTGTTCCGGCGGGCGTCCAGGTCGAAGTTGAAGTCGTTCCACTCGTCGCGGGGTGGGAAGGAGATGGTCTGGCGCAGGGTGAAGCGCACGGCGTCGATGACGCGCTCCCCCCGCGCCTCGCTGGAGCCCACGCTGACGGTGGAGGCGCCGCTGGGCGTGCGCAGCAGGTGGGGCGGCGAGGAGAAGTCGTGCAGCTGCCGGTGGTCCATGAGGCCCTTCCAGATGGCGTGGCGGAACTGCTCCGGGATCTTGAGGCTCACCAGATCCTGCAATCAGAGGCGGTTCGGCTCAGCGCAGCGCGCGGCCCGGCCGGGTCTGGGGACGCTCCCGCAGCCCGCTGCCCTTCCCGGGATGGACCGCTCCGGCTTTCCCGGCCGGCCACTCACTTCGGGAGCAAGAGGGCCCGGCCAGGTCCCGGAGGAAACGCAGAGCTCTCCTGCCCGAGGGCACGGAGCCGCGGCCCCCCTGCGCAGCAGCAGCAGCGGCCACAGCAAGCCCCAGCAAAGCCTCCGGGTTCAGGGCGCACAGCAAAGGGGGGGGGGGGGGGGGAGACGCGAGACCCTTCGGACCGTCCTCCGAAACTGCACAAGCCGCCCAGTGCCGCCGAGCGGACAGCGCAGGCCGGAGCGGGCGGACCTCGCAGCTCAGCCGGGCTGGGTCAGAAGCCTTCGCTCTCCTCCGAAGGGCAGCCCCAGCAAAGCTCCCGCAGCCGCTGCCGGAAATGGGGGCTCATGCCAGGAGAGGGGCGGGAATGCCCCTCCGGAAGCTGCCCCTCCCCAGCAGCGGCTTCCCAGCCGAGCCCACGCTTCTGGCCCCCTGCGCTGCCACGCTCTGGCCAAAAGCAGCTGTGGGGTAAGCAGCGCGATCCCGGTCCGAGGGTCCCCTGCCCCTCGTGGGAGGGGGCCCTGAGACGCCCCGGCGTGCCCCGGCCAAGCGCAGCGGGTGGGAGGGGCCCCGGGGGCGGAAGGGGGGCAGCTACTTACATCCATGGAGTAGTGCTCGATCTGGTAGATGCTGGTCAGCCCTTGCGCCGTGAAATAGTCCAAGCAGGAGGAGCAGCCCAGCCTCGCCAAGAAACTGCAGGAGACGGGGAGGGGGCAGCGAGAGGCGGGGGGGGGGGAGAAACGGAGATGAGAAGGGTCACCCGGACTGCAGCAGCCCCCACGTGGCAAGACCCGCACCAGCCCCCCGCTGCGCGAAAGCCTTGACACGGACAGACGGACAGACACACACCGACACCCCGGCCCCCCGTTCATTCCATCTGCTGCCAGCAGCAAAGCGGGGGTCGCGGGGGGGATGCCACCCGGGCGGGTGCGGAGGGGGCCACCCACCCCAGCCAGCGGCCCTCGAAGCCCGGCCCGCGCACGAGGAGAAGTGGGGCCACGGGGACCATGCAGCAGAGACGCGGCTGCTCAGCGGGCCCCCACACCAGCCCCTTTCCCTGTGCGATCAGGAAAGCCGAAGAACTCGTGGCTGGGCTGCCGGGGGGGGGGGGGCCCTGGGACACCTGGATCTGCGGCTTCGCTGGCGGGTGCCTGGCATCCCCCCCCCCCCAGAGCTTTTGTGGCTCACTCAAGTCTTTTGAGTGTTGCTTTCCGCAGCCGCAAAGCAATGCGTGGAAAAGCAAAGTAAAAACACTGCGCTTAAGGAAATGGAAGTGCAGGAAGGCGGACCAGGAACGGGCCAGCGGCAGCTCAGCCCCGAAAAAGCTGTGACAGCGCAGAAGGGAATCCGGACGGCCCGGTCCAGAGGAGGAAGTGGGGGGCAGGAGGGGGCCGGGGCTCCCGCCCAGCCCGGGGGCTGCTTCCCCAGCGGCAGGCTACCCCGCACGCGCAGCCGAGGCGCCCATTCCACGAAGCCACGGCGCATGCACTGAAGCCCGGCCAAGAGCAAAGCGGAGGCGGCGGTGCTGCAGGGATGGACCTCGTGCCTTTGCTGGCAGCTCGAGCCGGGCACAGCACCTCTGCGAGGGCTTCAAGGGCCCCCCGGGTCTTGACCGGGAGCCCCCCGGGGCTCCGTGCCACCTGCGGCTCCTGACCTGCCTCCCAGGGCAGCCCCACGCAGAGAGTTGTGGCAGCCAGGCCGAGAAGGCTGGAGCACGGCTGGCCCAGAGCGGAGAAACAGAGGGAGTCAGAAGGGGCCTCCCAGGTCATCTAGTCTGACCCTGGCTCCAGGCGGCTGCTTTGCCAGGAGTGCACGCGACCAAAGCAGCCGATGAGAGACGCTTCGCCCTGCAGCGTGCGCAGGGAGGGCGCGGCCCCGTCCGGGCACAGCCACCGCCTGCATCACACGCCTCCGCAGCCCCAGGGCGGCGGCATCCCCCAACCGGCCCAGGCCAGATCCCTCTCCCGGAAGGCGCAAGCAGGCGAGGAAGCGATGCAGCGAGGGCCGAGCAGTGGCCCGGCGTGTCCTGCGTGGCCCCGAGCCACGTGGAGAAGGGCCCACCCAGGCGAGCTGCGGGGCGCCGGCACTCACCTGACGATGCTGCAGTCGGTGGGGTAGGGAGGCGGCGGGGTGCAGTGGGACGTCGATGGCATGGAGAGGGGCGGGGGCAGCGTCTGCGTGGGGCTGAGCCCGTTCATGTCGCCCGCCATGGCCATGTGGGTCCCCATCATCGGAACTGCAGGGGAGTGGGGGGGGGGGAACCCTTAGGGGGGGGGAAAGCCCAGCCCCCCCCCCACCCCCCACACAGCCCCCCCCCCCGCTAGTCGGCCGCTTGCCAGGATGAGAGGCACCTGATGCAGATCTGGCATCTGGGAGCAAAGGTCCCTTGCACAGGACTAGGAACTTGCTGTGCTCCCTCTGTCTCCACAGCCTTCATGCTAGAGAGATCCCCTTCTCTCCAGGGACATGGCATCATCCTCTAGCGTGCCGGGGCCCTCCCCGGCAAGAGAAACGCCTTCCCTAACCCGAAGTTCCAGCCATGCGGGGCCAACGACACCCATCATCCTCAGCCAGCGTGGCCCACTCTGCGTGGAGTGGAGCCGCACTTCCGTGCGCTTCCCGAGGACGTCTGCGGCTGGGGAAGCCCTGAACTCTTCAGTCAATCTCTGGGCTTGCACAGGTCCCCGAAGGCCTTGGAGGGGGCCTTCGGGGGCTCCTGCTCCCCCCGAGGGTCCCGCCTGCCTTCCAGGGTGGCTAGAACATCTCAGCGAAGTGCTTGTGCCAGTCCTCTACTGTTGCCGGAGCGCAGGCAAAAGCATCCGCAGAATGTCAGGGGGCGGCTGCCCTGGGAAGGGCTTCCGGCAGTAACGGGGCAGCTCCCGAGCCCACTGGGCTTCGGTCTGGGCCTTCCTCCCCCCGGCGGCATCCTTGGGTCCAGAAGCCTCCACGAAGGCCTCCGGTGCGGGCCCACGGGATGCCAGGACGTGCCACGTCACCACCCTCCTCTGCGCAAGAGCCCTCCCCAAAGACCGGCTGAGAGGCCTGCCCGGCGGCCCCGTGGCCCCTGCCCAGGCCACCGGCCACGGCTCCCTCGCTCCCCACGGCCTCCCCCGGCCAGAGGGCAGGGCCCGCTTACTGTTGGCTCCCATGCTGTCGGGAATCGTGGTGGGCGTCAGGGCGTTGCGCTGCTGCGGGTTGATGAGCTGGCTGACGGAGGGCAGCTTGTTCATGCTGTTCATCTTGCCGAGCGGGGGAGAGCTGGACCCGTACGACGACGGAGACTGGATGGCGTTCCTGCGGCGAGCACCGGAGGGGAGGTCAGGGCCACGCGGGGGGAGCAGCGGCTCCCGTCCCGTCCCGTCCCGTCCAGGGCAGGCCGGGCGTCCCCGGCCACACTGGCTCAGCACCAGGGCGGGAAGCGGGCGTCTCGCACACCCTGGTGGCAACTCGGAGGACGAGGACTACCCAGATGGGGTCTGGTGGACAACCCCCCCCCCCCAGTTTGGAGGAGGGGTGGGGGATCCCACAGGCAGTTCTCTGGAGGCACATCGGAATAAAACCGTAGGGGGTGAATGCAGCGCGAAGGGGAAGAACCGCCAGGGCAGGCAGACGGCGGCATGTTGAAGGTGTGCCCCGAAGGACCGGCCTTTCAGGGCGGGCACACCAGCACCTCCGAGGCGCACGTGGGGAGAGCGACTCGCAACACAAGTGCCCGATCAGGTCAGGGATCCCCCTTAAGCGTAAAAATATTTATGTATCACATTTATGCCCCACCCCACAGTCTGCATCTCTCCAAAGGTTGCAAATGAGTTCCTTCCGAATGCAGCAAAAGGCAAAGAAAAATTTGCATCCTGGAAGAAAGCGCAGACAGAAACTCTCGCCTTGGTGAAAATTAGCCTAACATGGCACTTCTTCCAGCGAAATGGCTGGCAGAGACTGCGCATGTCTCACCAACTCATGTTGGAAAAATGCAAGTATTAGGAGAAACGTAGACAGAATTTCATATGGACTTGTTAAAAAACCCCAAAAGTCAAAGATCAACTTGAAATTGGGAAAATGAGATAAAAAACCCAAACCTGCCCAGCGGATCCATCCCTCCTTGCTCACTGAAAAGCAGCCTGCCAAGGAGACCGCCAGACGGGGACCCTTCTGCTCAGCATGCTGGTCTTCCACGGGGGGGGGGGGGCCCCCCCCTTGGGAGGGGGCGCCCGCCAGGGGGGGGGGGGGGGGGGGGGGCTCCGTGCAGCCGAAGGGGTCGCTCTCCTCAGTGGGCGAAGCGTTCCGGCAGCATCTACCCTGGGAGCGTCCGGCAGCTTTCCTGCCGCCCGCGCGCACATCTGGGGCCGCGAGAGAGACGAGCGAGGCGCCTCTGCTCACCAGCCGGGCCGGCAAGAGCGCCACGGCTGTGGGGGCGCTGTGGAACCCCTGCCAGGCCTGGCACCCGGGTGCGGGAAGTCCCATGCCCTGGGCACGCCCTGCCCAGGGCAAGTGGGGCGAGCAGCAAAGGGGCCCGCCCTGCCGAGGGGCAGCCACCCGAGGCCCCCTTCCCATGGACACCCCCGCGGCTCCAACGCATCTTGCAAGCGACTGCCCAGCACCAACCCTCCACGCGGGCAAACGGCAGGACACGGCCTCCCGAGACCTGGAGAAGCCAGCGCGACGCAGCGTTCCAGCCCTGAAGCTGCCCGGTGCGGGGTCAGGCCTGTGCCCCCGCCCCTTTGGCCACCTTGCTCGATGGCCCATTCCCCTGGACTTCGGCCCAGCCCTTGTCCCTCTCACTTGCCAAAAGCCGTTGGGCCGCACAGAGGCGGCCAGCACCATCCCGCGTGCCGGTGCCGTGCCGGTGCGCCACCCCGACCGACCGATCCACAGCCCTCCTGCGCCGTTTCACGCGGCAGCTGCCGCCTCTGCCAAGACTCTCCAGGCACCTTCCCCTGCGCACCAGCCGCGCAAGAAGAGCCCCGTGAAGCGGCCTTCTTGCACACGCGGCAGAGGCGCTCAGTGGACGCAGCCCTGCGCCCTTCACTGGGCCGCCGGAGGAGCGCGTCGCAGGCTTCCTGCCCCCAGGAACCGAAGGGCCGGGCCCCAGGACCAGTGCGCACCGTCCTGGACACGTGCTCTACGCAGAAGGGATGAGCAGCGGCAGGGGGTCGCCAGGGCAGGGGGCTGGAGGGCAGAGGGCAAACGCCACAGCCAGCCGGCCAGCCCTCGGAGGCCTCTGCAGGCACATGCTGCACACGGAAGCAGCACATTCCAAGAGGATGCTCTCCTGATGAGCCCTTCAGGAACCCACAAGAGTGTGTGTGTGAGTGTGTGTGTGTAGGGGGGGCTGTCCTTTCTCCCGGAAAGCTCTGCTGACTCGTTGCCACGGCCCTTTCCTGGGAAGCGAACCACCCAGCAGAAACCTGACCCAGGGAAGCCGCTGCAGGACGACTGGGAAAGCAACCTCACTTGGGGGCAGGTGGGTGCCCCCACGGCCCTCCCGGAGCGGCTTTCTCCCAGCGCCGCCCATGGCACACGGATGCTACAGGCGCCCTTTCCGTGGGGAAAAGCCCCCCGGGATCCTGGGGCTGGGGGACTTCCCCCGGGCAGAAAAGATCTCTGCAGCCCCCGTCCCCCCACCAGGGCCGGGCACTTCTCCCCGAGCACCTATGGCGAGCAAAAGGACGTGGCGGCAGCGCCTGGGGAGAGCCCTCCACCGCCGCCTCCTGCCTTCCCCGCGTCAGTCAGCCTTGGAGCGTCGTGGGAACCTGGGGCGCGCCGGACCGAACACCTGCGCCAAAAGCCCCGGAGCCTCCAAGTGGCTTCCCGGGGAACGGGTTTCCCACCCCCGATGCCCTCCCTAAATCCACCCCGTCTGGGAGGGAAAGTAGAGAGTAAAGAGCAAGCAGCAGGGCCAGGGCGGGCGTTCCTTTTGCAAGAGGGGAAGGAGAGGATCGAACCAGGGAGGGACAGGCAGGAAAGACAGAAGCCGGTGAGGGTAAAATCAAGATGGAAAAGTTTATTGGAAATCAGCACCACACGGTCAGAGAGGAAGACCAGAAAAGGAATCCAAGGGTCGCTCTCAGAAGAGTAGGAGCCCTTCTGGGGCGAATTGGAGGATGTGCTCGGTTCCCAGGTAAAGGCACCCCAGCTCTTCCCAGCATGCCCTTCTGAGACAACTTGGAATGCAAAGTGCAAGAGGAGCAACTGACAGCTAATGAATTCCAAGGAAAATTAGAATCCCTTTGAACCTGGGCCAAACTTGTGCACTTTCTGTTCCTGAAGTCTAATGAGGGTGCCTAGAAACACTCATACAGGCAGCCTCTTGGAGGCGTTGGCTACAGAATTTGGAAAGGGGTTTTGAGTTGCGTGCTCCTTGGGGCGGCTCCTCTAAGGAGATGTGGTGGGACCCCACCATGCCTGCGTTACTAAGACAAGACAACACGGGGCACGGAGAGCGAGTCTCCTATTTCGTGGTACTGACTTCCCAAGACGAAAGCTGCTCGAGGTCACACAGAACCAGAATCTTCCTGCAAACTGGCTCGCTTCTGCTGTCTGGGTCGCATCCCAGGAAGGTTCTGTGCACTGGCTGTAAGCAGGAAGGCAGGACCGTGAGCCAGGAAGTGCAACGCACAGCCGTGCGGAGCCTCGTTCCGGCCACCCTCCATCACGGGCTGCCCGCCCGGGCTCCTTTCACGGCAGGGTCCCGCTTCTCTGTGCCACGTACCAGGCACAGAGCTCCTGCGGTGCCTGACCTGGGAATCGCTGCTTGGCTGGCCGGGGCGGCTGAGCACTCACCCCAAGCACCAGGGGTCGGCGGGGTCGCCACCCTCTCTGAGGGGCTTGGAGGTGAGCTGGAGGAGCACGGACCTCCCCACCCCGCTGCAGCCGGGCCTTCCTCCCCAAAGAGCCCCTAACTGGCTGACGAGTGATTATAGACTGGGCTGACCCAACCGCGGGGAAGGGGTGGCCTTCTCCCCGCAAACGAGCCATCTGCCCGGCTGCCGAAAGATGCCCTCCACGCACGGAATCCGGCAGCCCTGTCCGGGCAGCAGGGCTCCGAGGGGCTCCTTTGGTCACAGCGGGCCAGACCTCCGAGTCAGGATCCGATTTTGCAGGATCCGGGGCAGAGACATGGCGCAAGCTTTCCGTGCTTTCCTCAGCGACCGTGTGGAAGAAACTGCCGCAAGGTCCGTGCTGTTATCTTGGCCCCTGCAGGGGAAGTGCACTGACACGATCCAGCCTCGCTCCTTATCGTGTTCGCATGGCTCCTCGGAAGCCGAACAGCCTGACCCCATTTTCAGAGGGGTACCGAGGCCCCGGGAGGGACCTCTGCTCTGCCGGGCATGCCTCACTGAATCACGGCACAGAAAGGGACCTTGCTCTGACTGCGCACCGAGCCCCTCTGTGACCTTTGGCGGTGCAACAGCCGGTTCAAGGCGACTCTGCCCGGCTGGAATCCATCAAGGCCGCAGGATGGGGGCTGAGCTGTGGCACTCGGCCGGTGCTGGGGCCAAGTCATTCCTAGCCTCGCTGACCAGGCTGGATCCCAGGAGTGGCAGGCGTGGCCACGACCAGCCTTTTGCTACGGGGGGAACCTCAGGGCTGAGCCCTGGGCAGCTCCCTGGGCTGGCCAGTGAGTGGCCCCCACGAGCTTCCAAGGGTTCCTTCGACAGAAGGCGGCAACGGCGTGCAAAGGCAACGCCGACCAGGTGGGGGAAACGGCTTCGTGGCCCCTGACCTGCTCCGAATGCCTGTCTGCCCAGCAGAAACACGACTTTCACGTCTATACATATCAATAGTCTCTGACCAACACTAAAAGCGTTTTCAGCTGTACAGTGGAAATAACCTCCCGGTCATCAGCTGCACTGCTGCTTTAACACATAAACACACATCTTTAAGTTAGGCCTGAAGACTTGAGCCCAGCTCAGAGAAGTTATTCTGATTATTTCGATTTTCTCGGTGGTTCTTTTGCACATATCGCAAAGGGATGCCCGAAGGCCCGGGCTGCTACAAGGCAGGAGGTTCCAGACCTGGAAGCGCTAAGTCTACGGCTGCGGGGCTGCTCTTCTGGCAAAAGCGCCATTCCATGCACAAGTCTCTCGCCTGCCCGGTTCCGATCAGGCCGTTTGGCTCGGCAACAGCCCTCCCGCTTACGATCAGGGAGCAGGGCAGCTCCCCGTGCCCCTGTGCGACTTGTGGGCAGGCGGAAGGGCCTGGGGGGCTGGAATGTGTGAGAAGGGCTTCGTTTCTCTGGGGGGCTCCCTCCGTGTGTCCGAGAGCTCGCTCCTGAAGCACGCCGAGAGGAAGCT